CTCTCTCTCTCTCTCTCTCTCTCTCTCTCTCTCTCTCTTCTAAAAGAAAAGCCAAAATGGAAGACACTTACCTCAAATTCACACGCTTTGAGTCTCCACTAGAAACTGTTGAGAGATGGAGAGAGAGGCAGACAAATCTGTCTCCACTTTCTTTGCTTTCCTTTCTTTACTCCCAAAATCTTCAGCTTCTTCAGTTGACAAATCAGGGTGAAAAAAAGAGAGAAAAGACGTAAAATTTAGAAAATGAAAAACCCATTAATTAATTATTAATAAATTTTGAGAGAGAGAGAGAGAGAGGGACAGAAAGTGGCTGGTCAAAGCTCAAGGAGCAACTGTGGACTATCAACAGCTGCAAACAAGAAACCAAAAAAAAAAAAACACAGAGAGAGAAAACCAAGCCTTGATTTTCTCTCTTACCTTCTCTATTTTATTTGGTTTCTGTGTTGAAGGGGCTGCTGTCACTGAAAGAGATGAAAAGTTGAAGTCTTTAGAATGTGGGCTGGTCAATGTGGTAGTGGCTGAATCAGCTGAGTCATTGACTCGGTGATTGGACTCGTGACTCGGTGATGGGTTTGAACCCAGGTCCGACGCCGGTTCTGTCTGTGAGTCTCAGTGGGTTGGGTTGAATTTGACCTCCGGTAATCCCGCCCATACCAGCTCACACCCATCCACTGTTTTTTTTTCCTTTCCTATTTTTCTTCTCTTCTATGGAAATCTTATAAACAGCAAAATTTTAAATTTTAAAATTTTAAATTTAAAAGAAAAAAAAAGTGAACAATGGAAATGTTCTATACAATTATTGCTGTGACCTAATTGTTTAGGGAATTTACTAAAGGGACCATTGTGTGATTTCTTTTGTGATTTCTAGGCTGTCAAGCATTGGGAATATGTGTCCATGAACAAAAATGGATGCTCTGTTTTTATTTTTTCTCTGAGAACAAATGGATGCTCTGTTTTTAAAACACTATCTCTGACTCTGGGAAACAAAGGAATGAAATTTGGGTAAAATGGTAGGTTATTTTTTTAAATCCAAAAATGGTAGGTTTTGGTTGTGTAAAATTGGTGTGTACTTGATGGCCTTTAATGATACTTTGTAGTACATGATCATTTTTTCTTTGGAATTAAAGTTTGTCTTTTTAGTGAAATGATCATTTGCACCTAAATGGAAATAAAGGGTTGTTCTCTCTCTCTCCTTCTCTCTCACTAACCCAACTTACCCACTTTTTTAATTAGGAAATATCTTCTCAAGGAAAATACTAGTGGGGAAGAAGTGAGGTGTAAATCAATAGAGTAAAATTGAATCTGAATGATTAAGAAGCACTTAAGAATACAATGAATTTGTAAAGGACCCACTAGTGTAGTGATTTGAAGTAATTATTCTTTCAGGAAAGGTCCTGAGTTCGAGTCATGATATTCATGTAATGTGTGTAAGTTTAATTTGCTATCGTCCCTCTTAATAAGAAAAGTCTAAAAAAATAATAATAATAATAATACAATGAATTTTGCTTTGGATTTCATAGATATCATATATATGATGATTATGGTAACCAGAGAACAATTTCATCATTGTCTGAGGTTTCTTTGCTTCACATAGAAAGCACTGGAGACAAATTAATAGGGGACATGATGAAGTGGCAATTCAAATTTTTTTTGTGTTACATTAGGTAAGTGAGTTGGATTAGGTATGAATTATTATTTTTGGTGATTCTAGCCACACATGAAGAAAAATAGATTTTAATTGAAAAACAATTACAGCTCAACAACAGTACTTGTTATCTCAAAACTGTTCAGCGGACCATTTCATAGAAAAGAAAAGGTTCTTTATATACAGCCTTGGACCACATAGAGATTGTGGTTACCAACCGTTGGATGTTAATCTAACAGTTAAAAAAAATTTCTTAAAAGGAGTACAAAAATGAGTGAACCGTTGAATTTACATCCAACGGTGAGTGATCACGAATCTTGTGTCATGTATTGATTTGAGAATAAGTTTTCAGAAAACTGCCTTTATAAGGAAAATTATGTCATGCAAACCGATGAAAGGTTCAATGAAATTCAAATTTTTTTTAATTTTGTTTGTTGGATTGGATTTGAAGATGAAGAACTTATTAACTGCATTTCTTTTTCGATTTGAATGAATAAAAAATGGACTAAATCAAATCGTTTCATCATTAGCTTTTAAATTTAAAAATGTTACTTCTGTATTATGAGAGACTAAAAGTGTACGTCATTTGTCTTTTTTATTTTTCGCTTGAGTTAATTTTAATATATTTGAATGTCTGAATTTGTAATTGTTTATTATAATTTTTTTCATTATTATTAGGGCTCGTTTAGTTTGCAAAGTGGGGTGTTGGGCATAATTTTGGTTCAATCTGACCGAAACCGTTCAATCCAGATTAGTTTACTAATGAACGGGTCTTGGGTTCAAAAAATCATAAACCGCCATGTGAAGGGTTGAGTTACATGTTGGAACCAAAACGTAAAGTTAGGTTAATTTTGAGTTAGCCCAACCGAACCACCCAACTCAATCACAAAAGGGTTGGGTGGATTGGATTGAGTTGGCCTAATAATAAGTGAATCTTCAGTCCAAGAAATCATAAAACCACTCTATATCGGTTTGGGTTACAAATTGGGACAAAAAACAACCAACCCATTACCACCGTAGAAAAATAGAACTAAAATAATGGCCTAATTCATAAAATATAAAATAAAACCTAAGTCAAGAGAGTATGTTGCATATGTAAGTTAAGTCAGTTGACCTGTGCTTGCCTCTTTGCATATGAATTCGATCTCATTTTCCATGAATTAGAGTAGTTGAAACTATCCAGCTTTAAAAATAAAAAAAAAAAAAAAAAAAAAAAAAAATTACAGGAGAGAAATTAAGAGAGGATGTCAATATATATATATATATATATAATGGTTTGGGCTAACGTATTTATTGGTTTTTTAAAGTATTTTTCTCACATTTATTTCTCTACCGTACCTTTGGGTCGAACTATTCTTCAGTGGGAGGTTGAATGACTAATTTTTACCAGTTCGCAAATGTATTATATTCTTATATCTCGATTTACTCACTTCGGATTGAAAAGCATAAGATAATGGATGGTATCTTTCTGATTTACATAAACCCTTTGTTCATGAAGAAATCCATTAAATAGATATCGAAAACTAGTTTATGGAATACAAGATCATGAATGATATTCTCACAAATAAACCCAACAAATAGGAATGAAAAACGCTTTTTTTCAAAACAAAAAACCTAGAACCTAGAACCCGCTCAGTAAGTCTTAGGTACCGGTGTGATACCGGCCGAAGACTCTCCGATGCTTAAGTAAGTACGGATTTAGTAAGTTTGAACTACAGATCAATATGCAGTATGCCGTTAGTTCTGATTGATTACCTTCAAGCTGAGATAGTTGTCCTCTTTTATAGGCCTTGAGATGTGTGCATTTTGTTTAGAGTTTCGATGTGGGACTGTGGACATTGATTGTGAGACTGCCACGTGTCCCAGGAGGTAAGGTTGCCCTAATAGAGCGATCGGTAGATAAGATGCCGAAGCTAGATGTCAAAGGCTCCCGTAGCTCCAGCTTGGTCCACGTGTCAAATGTTCATTGGCTGCTCATTTTGGTATAAACAGTATTGTCAAGTATGTTGAAAATGAAATTCTCATTTTTATCAAGCAGTGAGAGCATGTTAAACCTAAAGAAACCAAAATTTTGGATGGAATTCTATATGTTTTCATGAGCACTCACCAACCAATTTTTTTTTTTTTAAAAAAAAAATATTACCGTTGACAATGTAACATGGTTATATTTTGTTTGTCTTTGATACAAGCGATATTAGAGATGGGGAATCGAACTCATAACATCAAGTGCATAGGTAAATACTCTTAATCACTTGAGCTATAAGTCCTTTACTTGTTATGCAAACACGTAAATTCATGGCGGGGTCAATAAATATATTGTTACAACAGTAGTTTGAGATCAAAATTTCAAGATTTGGTTTGGCAATCCATCCCTATCAAGTCGCAACTAATTTTTTTCTGACAGAAAAAGCAAGTGAATGAATTTTCTCTTGAATTGCATTAAATGCAATTTCCATCGTCGTTAAGAACAAAGAAAAGAACACAAGTGCAAGTTGAACTATCAGTTATTATAAAGAAGGACCATGCAGCAGTCTTAGTGCTATACGCATGCTGCTGTTGGCTCCATGCTTCCACGTTGAAAGACATGAACGGCAAATAATGCTCAACTGCTCACTTTGTTTTTGGCCTCACACACCACAAAATTACAGCAGCATGAGGAAAGTCTTCATTTTCCTCAGAGTCGTTCTTTCTTTAGTCAAATAAACAACTTTCTGCTAGCCAACTTATGAACAGTGGTCCTGCCTGTGTCTGCTAGTTTTTGGGTCGGGATCAAATTAATCTATGAAATAAAAATTGCACATTGACTTTCAAAACTAGGGCTCAATCTTGAGCACTCAACATGCATGAATTTAGGGATTGGTTTTTATTTTTTGGTATGAAACATTTCGTTTTAGATTAAAGTAGCGTACATAAATGATAAATTTGTATAACCGTGTCCGATAAAATCTCGTTTTAAAACAACACTATTATATTAAAAGATCACGTGATACAATATGCCGTATACATATTTGTGATTCGTAATTTTTATAATGTTAAATGAATAATGTTTGACTTCTTATAGCATTTCTCTACAAATTGAGATGAACAATTCACAATTTGAAATGTATTGAAGGAACGAGTCGTAAGTTTAATTTGTCCTGGGATTAATATATGGATAATTAATTATTCTAGTCCTGTGGCAGCGATGTAATTAACTTCTTCTGTTGATCAATAAAACAACAATATAATATAATTTTATATAATTTAAATGTAGCAAACCCTAAAGCTAGATGTAGAATAATTCCCTAAACCCTAGAGGGAAAAATAATACAAAAAGGTTGGAGAAATATCTAACTGCACTACCAAAATGGATTTCTAGTTGCAGAAAGGAAATGCGCGAGTCAAAGGTCAAACGCCCACATAGTGGTCAAAACTCTGTTTTCTGTTTGGATCTCTCTCTCTCTCTCTTCTTTGTTACACAGGTCGCAGCCACAATGATTAAAGAGAGCAACAACAACAACACAACAGTAAGAGAGACACAGATTGTACGAAAGCAACCATCGGTTTTTCAGTGGCTGCTACTGTTACTGAAACCCTCTCTAGGGTTTTGCTTTCCTTATTATTATTTGGTACAGAAAAGTTTATCCGCTTTTAAAGTTTGGTATATCAAATTTTTTTTATCTCAGTCACATACATAAAATTGATTTTCTTATCACTTTCATACATATCGTCAGTCTTTCTGTTAACAAATTTATTAACTGTTAACGTGCTAACGTGGCAATAAATATGCCACATAGACCATCATATGGTGCCACGTGATCCGCATATTATTAATTAATTAAATAAATAAGAAAACATTATTAAATAAATACATTCATTTAAAAAATAACTTAAAAATAAAAATCATCTCTCATCTTCATCCCCAAACCCTAGCACCCATCTCCTCACTCACCTCATCCCCACCCTCTCGTAGCCTCTGCCCATCCCCTCCTTTCTTTTCTCCCTCAACCCTCAGCCTCATCCATCGTCTCCCTCCTGAGAAGGCCTAAAAAAAAGTTTGAAACAAAGACCCTCTTGCACAAGTTGACCTTAGGCATTATTTGCTTGTGCTA